TTGAATTGATAACAGCACATCCTCTTGATTCACAATTTTCACCACACTTCAGTAGATGTTTCACTAATGATCATAAAAACTCTATAATAACATGTTTTATGCACGCTAATGTTCATAATCACACACCATTAGACTTTAAATTCCTCAGCCACTTGCATGGACCTGTCTGTTGATCATCAACTCCTTGTGTGATTTACAATCCCAAAGCTTTGGTTGACGTGAACAAACAAACCATTAAAACAGAACAAACATCCAGAGTGGTGACACGGGGGTCTTTTCCTGCCTATGACAGTGGTTGGCTCCCCCCGCTGAGCGTTGTTTCTTGATGCCAGTGTTTGCACTCAGTAAAAGGCCCCCGTCGTGTCTTTCTCTAATTGCTTCCATGTGTGAGTGTGAATCTGAGCGCTGCCGCTGAACTAGTATTTCACATACAAGGGATTAATATGTGTAAGTTTTATTAGAGATGCTCTAAAGGGATACTTCAGGATTTAGCATTAAGCTTTGTATTAGTAGAAAACCTGTAGTATTTTCAAATTACTGTGCTTTCCACCCTCATATCCTCCTGAGACGAGAGACTTATGTATTTTCTGTCTGGAAAAATTCGTCATTTTGTGTCATCGGAGGATGTTTTGTACAGAGGCTAAAGACTATAGTCAGTAGTCGGGTTTGTCCCGCATGTCCTCAACCCGCCCATAGAGGGCGATCTCACTCACAGAATGAACACATACTGTCGGCCATCTTGTTTTGGAAGCTAAGCTAGCAGGCTCTTGTTCTGTGGAGAAAGCTGAGTAGTAAGGGTTACCATCCTCTTTTTCCCGGACATGTCCGGCCGTCGATGTCTGAGATTCAGCTTTTGCTTTTTCATTGTTTACATGCACAGCTTTTGTATCAATCTAACTGAATTCGTTCCGATTGGTGAATCTGAATGTAGTGTTTACATGAACGCTAAACAAGTGATCGGTTGATGTGCGTTTTCACATCGCTAAAAAAATTCCCGCTCCTCCGTGAGAGATACCAGACCGGTGAGCCCAATCCCGGACATTTTGGGTGATCTCGAAACACATTTTCGGGCACGGAGACTCACTAGTAGCCTAGACTTGTTGTTTAACTACTGCGCTCTGTTACCGGTAGGCGTGGCCTCCTAGGGCAGCGAAGCAAGTGCATTCTGGGAGTTGTTGTCTTTCATCCACATAAGCCAAAAATACATTTTCTGGCTTTTCTCAGTCTAGAAAGCTTCAAATTCAGAAATAATTTCACATTTCTTCTACATAAATGGCCCATTTTAAATACACATTCATCTTTCCAGAGGTGAAGTATCCCTTTAAATGGTAAATTTAATACAATATATTATATTAGATATATTGATTATGTGGGCATGTTAATGTGCTCAGGTTGTGATGTCATAACTATAACGAGTTTCATGAAGCTATGTGTGGCGATTGTTCACATATATCTCCATAGCATCATCTGTTCAAAGAGCAAAACTACAAAAAATCCTTAATGTGTCCTTTTACTGCATCCTTTAGAGGAGGAGAGACATTTATGACACACTGCTGTGAAGAGAATTTGTCTCTCACACTGTCTCTCAGACTTGTACTTGTCAGTGGTATTATTGTATATCAGTAATTCATACCCCTCAGGAGAGAGCGAACCACGGGCCCGGGGGATTGTGCTGTACACCCAAGTGTGAGGAATTCCTGTCCTGCTGCCAGGAACAAGGCGAACTGTCCAATGACAATGTCAGATTGGAAACATACAGAATAAAAAAAAAAACATTTATGTGTCAGCATATTGTGTGTGTAAATGTAATCGGTGACACATCCACATGCTCCAAAACTGATTTTGTGGCGAGTTTTTTGTTCTCTTTGACTAATTCATATGTGATGATTAGACGTTAGTGGATGTTAGTGGCTCGACTTAACACACACATTGAACATTTCATCATCTCAGCTGCCTGTGGTTTTTTTTTTCCACGTTGTGATGAATGGAGGAACACATAGAGAGAGAATGAATAGCTTTCCAGAGCCCTTTATTGACCACTGAAAATATTTCATAGAAGTCGGGGCCGTGGCGCACCATGTGCTCCAGATTTATTGAGTTGTTGTGCCTATTCCCTCCTCCCTCTCCACTATATCTATAAAGCTGTTTTTTTTTTAAGACAGTGTGAGTGGTGTTTGCTCATTACCTCCATTATGGAGGTAATGACCAACTTTACAGCAGAAAAAAACATGTTTATACATGTTTTGGTCTATATATAGTACGGAAGCCCTGAACCGCAACGTAAAAAAAAAAAAAAGCAAATGTAAAAAAAAAATTAATAAAAGTTTTAAAAAATCTAGCATTTCGAGATTAAAGTCGAAACGTTTTGACTTTAATCTAAAAAAAATTGTAAAAAAAAGTAAAAAAAAAAATCGAGCATTTCGAGATTAAAGTCGAAACGTTTCGACTTTAATCTAAAAAAAATAGAAAAAAAGTTTTAAAAAAAAATCTAGCATTTCGAGATTAAAGTCGAAACGTTTCGAATTTAATCTAAAATATTTTTTTTAAATTTAAAAAAAATCTAGCATTTCGAGTTTAATGTCGAAACATTTCAACTTTAATCTGAAAAAATTGTGAAAAAAAAGTAAAAAAAAAAAATCTAGCATTTTGACATTGAAGTCGAAACGTTTCAAGATCAAAGTCGAAACATTTCGGGAGTACGAGAATGTCTTCCGTCGAAGTTGTGTGTGTGCTTGCCATTGTTTCACATTGACGCACACACAGGCATTCATAATGGTGCATAGCGAATGTTTCACACTGTGTGTGTGTGTGTGTTTGTGTTTTGTTTAAAGGAAATTCAACAGGTGCCAAATATACCAGCATAGGACGTCTAATACTCCATTACCTCTATGTTGTGAGTGGTTGCCAGTTTGTTGCTATATGATTGCTAATGTGTTCTGGATGCTATGCAGTTGTTAGAGTATTCAGAGTGGTTCCTCAGAGATTGAGCACATCAACTAGAGGAAGGATGTTCAAAAGCGAGTGAGCGAGGACAAAAGAAAAAGCTGCGATCTGAGACACATAACTGGAACGTATGCTGACTGAACCAGATTTGGGACTTTTAGAGACCTTGGAGGAAAGGGGTGCTCAGATCTGTTTTTTCTGCATGACGAAGTGATGAGCACAACCAGTAAGTGTGTGAAATGTTAGACTTTATCTACACATGGATGTGTCAAGGGTTGTGTGTTCAGTGTTTAGTGTTGTGAGGGAGATTTCTGCAGACTGAGTGGTTTCTGTTCAGCTAATGTGTAATTTAGCACAAGTATGTGGAGAATCTTGTGAGAAAAAGATGTAATTGTCGGATTGTGGTGAGGTCATTTCCTGACCGGTCCATTTTTATGGTGGCTTATTTTGAGAGACGCTTTGTTTTTTACTCTCTTATTTCATCTCTTGTGGATCATTCTCAAAAGCCAAGTAACTTTCTTCCCAGATTTTGCGCTGTTTTGTTTTTGACAAGGAAAGTGCACAATTTGCTATCAAGCCTGTTTCCATTCAATTGACCTTTTACCAATAAAATGGTATGCGTAATGACATCATCCCTAAAAAATGCATTGTTGGATAAGTTTTGTTGTATCGCAAAAATCATTTCGCGTACTGTATGACAAATTCTACCATATCTTTTGCATCTCAAATATGTGAAAAGAGATTTTGTGAAATTTTCTAATTTACGCCTTACTATTTTCTCAAATAGTATGATCGAACAGAGATGACGACAAATCGGAAAATCGCCGGACTGCAGCTTTAACTTAATATTGCTGTGAGCTTGTGATCAGCCGGCGCGGCATCGCACGTCAAGTTCGTTTCAAGATTAAAGTCATTACGATAATACAGTCTTCCATAGAAGTGTATTTATTCATAACAGTGAGTGTACACTGGGTCAGAGCGCCCACATGGGTTGGTTTTCCTATAGGATAAAGTGTATTCCGGCACAGTATATTTTATAACGTCCTATGATGGTATATTTGGCACCTGTTGAAATTACTTTAAACAAAACACAAACACACACACACTGTGTGAAACACTCGCTATGCACCATTATGAATGCCTGTGTGTGCAGCAATGTGAAACAATGGCAAGCACACACACAACTTCGACGGAAGACATTCTCGTACTCCCGAAATGTTTCGACTTTGATCTTGAAACATTTCGACTTTAATGTCAAAATGCTAGATTTTTTTTTTTTTTACTTTTTTTTCACAATTTTTTTTAGATTAATGTCGAAATGTTTCGACATTAAACTCGAAATGCTAGTTTTTTTTTAATTAAAAAAAATGTTTAGATTAAATTCGAAACGTTTCGACTTTAATCTCGAAATGCTAGATTTTTTTCCTTTTTTTTTACAATTTTTTACAATTTTTTTAGATTAAAGTCGAAACGTTTCGACTTTAATCTCGAAATGCTAGATTTTTTTTCCTTTTTTTTTTTTTTTACTATTTTTTTTAGATTAAAGTCGAAACGTTTCAACTTTAATCTCGAAATGCTAGATTTTTTTAAAAACTTTTTTTACATTTTTTTTTTTTACGTTGCGGTTCACGTCTTCCTTACTATAAAGACCAAAACATGTATAAACATGTTTTTTTCCGCTGTAAAGTTGGTCATTTTAACATGGGGGAGATACAGATTTGCATCCAGTCTCAAGCGGCCAGTGGTTGAATTGCAGTTTAACTCGCTTCCCTGTTGGTTTGAAGAGAGAGAAGGGGAGGTTGCCGCTTTATCCAGAAACCAAAAAACATAGAAAAAACACACAAGTATTCTTCATGCTCTTTACTTGTGTATATGCTGCTTTTGTTTTCTTATTGATGCTAGTTATGCTGCTTATGAATATATACAACTTTTTAATGTCTTTAATATAGTTAATAACAGATAAATATATCATAAAAATATACTTTTTAGTGTGTGCATGTGTGTAAGATGAGGTTGATAAACTGCTGATGAATTATATTGAATGAATTTCTTTTCAGAAATCGAGGCAAAGGAAGCATGTGACTGGCTGAGGGCGGCGGGATTCCCACAGTATGCCCAACTTTATGAGGGTAAGAAATGGGAGTAATATCTATAAACATAGACACAGATGGTAAAGAATTGCTCATTGATTCGGTGGCCTCAACAGTGTGGTTGCAGCTGTGAGGTTAAGTGACGGTAAAAATCAGGAATGCAGAGAGAGAGAGAGAGTTGCTTTGAGTTTGAGATCACACCTATCCCATCCCACCTCAGCTGGGCGGACAGAAGCCAAGCAGTGATCACAAGCTGAATTATTCTGGATTTTCCGCTTCAGACATATGGAATAAAAACTGAATTTATACAGCTGTGTGCTCCATTTGTCAGCACATTTTTCTTCTTCCCTCTTTATCTTTTCTGGTCGTTTTCAGGCCATGGCGAGCTATTTGCAGACTAGAGTTTCTATCCAAAGGGAGGAAGAGGTCATGGGAAAAAGTCTTCATTATCACTGCCGGGAAAACACAGGCCTTTGCCTCAGTCTTCCGCATAGGCCAACAAAGGGGTCAAGAGGATACTGTGCTCTCTCTCTCTCTGTTCCCCTGACTCCTCCTTATGATGCTTTACGTCAATGAGCGATAAAATGTCAACAATTCTATATTTAATGCTGTGTAAATTCATGGCTTGGCTCTCATGAGAAACTGGAAAAAGCTCTCATTGGCCTTTATGACATAAATGAACTCCCAGATTCCACTGGGAAAATACCTTAGTGTTCATCTTGATCTGTCTCTCCTGCTTTTTGATAATTATTTGAGTCATTTCAAGAGAGCGATAACCCACGTTTCAGTTTCAGAGCTGGTATCTGCGGAGGCGCTTGTTGCTGGGCGTTTGTCAGTCTCTCTCTTTTTTCATGTGTTTCTTTGGTACAAGCAGCTCCTGTTGCTGAGTTGACACAGTATTTGAGGAATCAGAGAGTGCGTTCACACACAACCCGCAAAGACAGGTGACATGTCTCAGTGGCGTCTAACCACGCTTGTGCATTTTTTTTGTCTCTGATTCGATCATAAACTAGCGCATTACGTCCCGTGTCACGCTGGCGAACGATCTGGGCTTAAAGGAGTAGTTCATTTTTAAAAATTTTTTTGCTGATAATTTACTCACCCCCATGTCATCCAAGATGTCCACGTCTTTCTTTTTTCAGTCAAAAAGAAATTAAGGTTTTTGTTGAAAACATTCCAGGATTTTTCTCCATATAATGGACTTCAATGGGAACCAAACGGTTCAAGGTCCAAATGAGAGTTTCATTGCAGCTTCAAAAGGCTTTAAATGACACCAGACGATCTTGTGAAACGATCAGCCATTTCAAAAATGACTCAAAAAAAGATTTGTTCATTTTGATTCGAACAGGAGAGTCATGAACACGCAGCACAGAACAGAGCAAGGCGAACAATTGCGCTGATAAAACTTAAACTTTTTTATTTATTTTTTAAAACGTTTAAAGCCCTTTGAACAATTTGCAGTTTGCACTGAAACTGTCTTTTGGACCTTGAACCGTTTGGTTCCCATTGAAGTCCATTATATGGAGAAAAATCCTGGAATGTTTTCATCAAAAACCTTCATTTCTTTTCGACTGAAGAAAGAATGACATGAACATCTTGGATGACATGGGGGTGAGTAAATTATCAGCAAAAAAAATAACAAGTTAAATAAAGAGCATCTCTTCAGGGTGTCCCAAAATAACAAACAGAACAAATAGGATAAGTAACCTAAACCAATAAGAAAATAAAAAAATACATTTAGCTTACCTAACTCCCTACCAAAGAAACAGAGCTCAAACTAGTTTCAAAATAAACAAGCAGGACATCCCCACGTGCCACACTTTAAAGGTATGTGTTGTTATACAAACGAAAGATATGTTCAGATGTTACACCCTGGATGCACAAGTCGTGCCAGCAGCGTCTTTATCAAGACCACGCCCGACTGGACAACCAATGGCGTTCGTACAGCCCATCATTGGGCAACCTATTAGAAATCAATCAGACAAAACAAAAAGAGAGAAAAGCAACACAGAGCAATAAAGAAAACGATAATCTACATAAACACAGATCGTAACAATTGCATTACTCATTTGTTCCCGTGTAGTTGAACCGTATAGTGTTACCCTGGTCTGCTGTGTACAGTATAATGTAATCAGTGAAGGAGCGTCTGCCAGAGATAGCACTTGCTTTATAAGAATTACAGCACAGCGGCTGTGGATCTGTGATCCTCTGCAGAACCTCCGGCTGGACCAACTAGAAACATTTTATCCACTTATCTCTCTCATTTGTTTATTTCTCCCTTTCTAGTTTAAATCATGATTGTCTTCATTCATATGTCTTGAAAATATGAGCATAATCCATATGTGAACTTTTGATGATGTTGGTTACATTAAAGCTCTTGAACTGGACAGAAAAGTGATCTGCTTCCTGTCTACAGATTCCCAGTTTCCCATTGAAATATCCGCAGTCAAGAGGGACCATGACTTTCTTGACAAAGACCTTGTGGAACCTCTTTGCCGGTAAGTTTCTAAATGTCTAAATTATCTTGCAGTCTGAGGATGGAATCTGATACACCGTCTTTACTTCAAATGACAGCTGTGAAAATCAAAGACCTTACTGTCAATCACTCGTGCTCAGTGTTAAGCAATATGGCACCTTTAAGGACAACATTTACTTTCTTATTTAAAGGCGGGTCACTCCACCTATGGAAAGATGAATGTGTATTTAAAATGGGTCATTTATGTAGACGAAATGTGAATTTGGAGCTTTCTAGACTGAGAAAAGCCAGAAAATGTATTTTTGGCTTATATGGATGAAAGACAACAACTCCCAGAATGCACTTGCTTCGCTGCCCTAGGAGGCCACGCCTACCGTTAACAGAGCGCAGTAGTTAAACAACAAGTCTAGGCTACTAGTGTCTCCGTGCCTGAAAATGTGTTTCGAGATCGCCCAAAATGTCCGGGATTGGGCTTTTGCGTTTCCTGTGGCGAGCGGGACGGCCGCGGGAGAACGGCGTGAGGCCGGTGGCGTGATTACCGATGAGCGACACCTGTGAGACGCACCGCTCTCGTATCTCTCACGGAGGGGCGGGAATTTTCTTAGCGATGTGAAAACGCACATAAACCGATCACTTGTTTAGCGTTCATGTAAACACTACATTCAGATTCACCAATCGGAACGAATTCAGTTAGATTGATACAAAAGCTGTGCATGTAAACAATGAAAAATCAAAAGCTGAATCCCGGACATCGACGGCCGGACATGTCCAGGAAAAAGAGGATGGTAACCCCGACTACTCAGCTTTCTCCACAGAACAAGAGCCTGCTAGCTTAGCTTCCAAAACAAGATGGCCGACACTATGTGTTCATTCTGTGAGTGAGATCGCCCTCTATGGGCGGGTTGAGGACATGTGGGACAGACCCGACTACGGAGCCTCTGGACAAAAAAATCCTCCAAAGATGCAAAATGATGATTTTTGGGTCATCAGAGGATTTTTTCCAGACAAAAAAAAAACATAAATCTCTCGTCTCAGGGGGATATGAGAGTGGAAAGCACAGTAATTGGAAAACACTACAGGTTTCCTCCTAATACAAAGCTTAATGCTAAATCCTGAAGTATCCCTTTAATGTTGCTGGTCTTATTGTGCACAATGATGTAGTAGCTTTCTCTGCCACTGCCACATTTTTCCCCAAAAGTCCTTTTTATGAGCAATGCTAAGCATAAGGCCAGTCCCCAACCAGACGAAACACTATTATCGCCCCCCATTCTGCATGTACAAGTACGAGAAAGCTTGGCGGTGCTGTCCCGGTGGCGACCTCACCTCTGTAGCTGTCTGACCCATGTCCTCCATAAAGTCTGTCCCCTTCCCCGCCGCTTTGATCCCTAACGCAGCCCCCGTGGAGCCCGCTCTGATGTCCCTCTCAAAGCCCTGAGGGAGAGCATGGGGGTGTAGAGGGATAGGCCACTAACAGATGGTTGTGTGTGTTTTCATGAAAAGAGGCCCGGGGTTTGAGTCGTTGAGGGTTTCTAGCAGGTTGTGTCTAATGCCACTAATGACAGCGTTAGGGAGATCTGACAGCTTTACTGTCAGAGAATACACACACCACTCCTAAGGACAGTGTGTGCTGGAATGATAATGGTTTCATTATCACGCCACAGACACGATATTTACGCATATTTATGTGGCCATCTGGGTGCTTAATTAGGGAATCTTGATTGGAAAGTTTAAGCTGATTAACCGCGCCGATGTCATGACGGAACATTTTAGCGTGTCAAAAACAACAAGTCTGGTTTTATAGGTGAAATAATAGCTTGTTTGTGTCTGGAATGGGTATAAAGTGAGGGGTCTTATGGAGAGTGAAGAAGATTGTGTCTGTGTGTGTAAAAAGGGGTGGAGGAAAACTCTTCAGGGGTGAAGATCAGTCAGATGAGAACGTTAAAGGGCGCTTTAGGGTTAGATCAAAGAGGAGGTGGACGAGAAGGTGGATTGCCCACTCTCTCGCTCTTTATCCTTCTGTTTTTCCTTCTGCAGCCCCATCAGAGTCTCATTCATTCATGGCCATGTCTTGAAAGAGATTAGAACCTACGGCTGCCAAGCTGTCCCGTCACTCTTTCCGGCAGCCAATCAGGACGCAGATAGCGAGAGTTTCTTGAAATCTATACCTGCACGTAGAGAGGTTAGACGAGTGTAGGGTCTACAGTGGATTGTCTCTCTCTCTCTCTCTGTGGCTGTATGGTTTCTTTGTGGTGGAGATGAGAGTGACGGATGCACCAGTGACTGTGTCTTCTCTCTTCCAGTCGACTCAACACTCTGAACAAGTGTGCCTCCATGAAACTGGACGTGAGCCTCCCCAAGAAGAAAGTAAGTGGCTGTTTAATCGATTCTTTTTTTACTTCAAAATGGGATTTGGGTAAATCTGTCAAGAAATAGGTCATATTTACAAACAATGAAGATGTATTATTAAAAGTATAAAGCACATGTATAATATATAATGTATATCATGATATACATCTACATTGCCATTCAAAGGTTTGGGGTCAGTAAGATTTTTAATGTTTCACCAAGGCTGTTTATTTGATTGAAATATAGTAAATTTAATATTGTGAAGCAATGTTTTATACGGAGGCGCTTTGCATTCACTTGAAGATAAATTGATTATCTCAGAATTACAAGATATTTCATGGAAAAAAGTTTTTGCTCTGTTTTTCTGAATTAACGAGTTAATTATCTCAAAAACTCAAAAGATTTTGTAATTCTGAGATAATTAACTCGTTAATTCAGAAAAACAGAGCAAAAACTTTTTTCCCATGAAAAATTATCTTGTAATTCTGAGATAATCAACTCTTTAATTAAGAAAAACAGAGCAAAAACTTTTTTCCCATGAAAAATTATCTTGTAATTCTGAGATAATTAACTCGTTAATTCAGAAAAACAGAGCAAAAACTTTTTTCACATGAAAAATTATCCTTGTAATTCTGAGATAATCAACTCATTAATTCAGAAAAACAGAGTAGATTTTGTTTCCTCAAGTGAATGCAATACGCTTCCGTACTTTTAATATATTTTAAAGTGTAATTTCTTCAGTGTCACATGATCTTTCAGAAATCATCTAATATGTTGATTTGCATTTCTTCTTATTATTAATTCTGAAAACAGTATTTGTGGACACTGATACATTTTGTCAGGATTCTTTGATGAACAGAAAGTTTATTTGGCAGCATTTATTTCAGCTAAAAATCTTCTGTATTAAATGTAGCCTATTTACTGTCACTTTTGGTGAATTTAATGCATCCTTGCTGCATTTTAATTTCTATAAAATTTCCTTTGAATGGTATTGTATAAATATTGTGAGTTATGAAGATTTTAATCATTACTGTATAACATTATACAATATTATGTCATTAATGTATTACATTATATTGAATACATAAGATTTTTGTGCATTACAGTCATGACAATGAAGGACATTACCCCAAAATTCTCATTAAACATTTTCAAATAATGAAAAAAACATTTCTTCATGAAATGAACCCTTTTATTTTAGAGACAAATGAAAATGAAATATCTGTTCTATTAAATAATCTTTATAAATGCAACGGTTTTACTATTACTATAATGGCTTTGGTTTATGGTGCAAGTATTTATGCGAAATAAAAATCTCTTTAGAGTAAATCTGTCTAGGTTTTTAAAATGAATTATTTGGTTTGTGAACGGCTTATAACAAAGAAGATTATATAAAAAGAGCATCCGTTCGCAGGCAATAGAATTGATGACGGTTTTAAAGCACAGAAGTGTCAGTTTAATCTTCATTCAAGACTCTTTGACTGTTTACTCAGGGGTCGTATTTCAGATTAATTATGACTGTAAGGCTGTGGATCTCATTCAGTAGGTCATTTCTGACGCTTCTGCTTCTTCTGACGTCTCAGGCATGTGAAAGGGGTCCTTGGGTGTTGCTGTCTTTAACACAACCAGATGGTCATTTGATACCTGTTATGTTCATGTCCTCTTGTTTGGATGATATTTGAGAATTCCCCTAACCAGCTAGTGTGACTTAGGGGATATTTTTATAATAGTCTCCTCACATTTTTCAAATACCATGAGCCTCTTTTGACATCATCACTATTATTCAATTTAAATGTATGAGGTCTGTGATATTTTAAATAGGAAGTGGGATGTGAAAGTATGTACAGTGCTAAGAGGGTGTCCGAGCCCTTCACAGCTCTTTCCTGTACTGTGAGCAGCTCACATGTCTGGACTTTACTATCTATAAAACATATTGTTTGCATCTGTACAACAAAGCCTTAATATCCATCAATATACAAGGTTTCCGTGGGGTCTTAAAAAGTCTTTAATTTAAGGCCTTAAAAAGTGCCAGATTTTCATCTGAGGTCTTAAATTTGATTTAGTAAGGTCTAAAAAAGATTTTCACCCTCGTTCATTTCCCAAAACTCTGGCGGCAGAAAGTTATTACAAAGTAGCAAAAAAGTATTGAGTCGTAACCATTAGCTTACAAAGCGGAGCTCTAGAGCAGGGGTTCGAACCGGTTCAAACACGGCACTCGCGTGCTAGCATTAAATCGTGCATGGTTGCATAGCAACGACAGACGCAGCGGGAAATTAAATTTTTTTTATTTTTTGGTAATGCGTCGTGTAGGTCTTAAATTTCTGTTTCTTAAAATGTCTTAAAAAGGTCTTAAATTTTACTTTCTGAAACCTGCAGAAACCCTCGTAAATCGTCATGTTAATCACACTTAATTTTTTTAAATAACTGAATAAATTACAACTATAAATAAATTAGTCATTTGACTGCAATACAAATAATTGTTAGGAGGTTTTAGATAGCGACACTTGCCTATTTAATCGTCCACTGAATGAGAATTGCAAGTCAGTATTTAGCTATACCACAGAATAATGACTAAATACTGTACAGTTTAGGAGCTGAAATGTTTATGTGAAGCTAAGTCTATTCCTGTGCTTTCTTGTGCCCGCAGAGTGAGGACTCTGATGAGGAGGACCTGCTGGCCATCAGCAATAGATGGACATTTGAGTGGAACAGTCGGCGCTGGTCACGAATGCAAGACATCGATTACCTCTTGGGTAGAGAAGAGGAGGTGGGTGAGCATCTGCGGACCACTGTGAGCAGCGAGAGCATCCTGACGGACCTCAGTGAGCCGGAGATCTGCTCGCTGCACAGTGAAGACTCATTGGCTGCCATGCCTGACTCCGCCTCGCTCACCCCACTGCACTTACCCAGAGAGCTGCCTCATTACAATTCACTTCCTGCCAAGAGCAGGCGACGTGGACGCACACGCGCCAAAGACTTTCTGAGGAGGATGGAGACGCTGGGTCGGACGTGGGGGCCATCGATGGGTCGCTCAGAGCGACGCTCTTTGGTTATTAGCGGCCCAGTTCTGCAAAGCGAGCCACAGGCGCTAAAGACTCTACAATGTGTTCAGATTTTCAACGATGGGCCTCTAAACTCTGAAAACATGCCATCTGCCAACAACTGCCCAAATTCGTTGGCCAGCAGTGAGGCCAGTAGCCAATCGGAGACCAGCGGTAGTACCGGAAGCACGCCGAACACGAAGGGACGTGTCCCGAACTCGTATCCTCCTGGTAAACGTGCAGGTGTCTACCTCGAAGACATTGATGTTCTCGCCGGCGCCCCCCAGAGGAGGAGACCGGTTGAAAAGAGCCGCAAAAATGATTTCCGCTCCTATGACGAGCTATTGGTGCATATCCCGAAAGATCACAAACCCGGTACCTTCCCTAAAGCGCTGTCGATCGAGAGTCTGACCCCAGCCAGTAAGGGACAAAGAAACTGGAAGGTTCTGGATTCAGAGCCACAGTTGTACAAGTGCAGGAAAGTCCGGCCCGTGACACGCTGCTGTCCGCGGGGAAGCAGAATCAGCGTGTACGACAACGTACCCGGCTCACACCTGTATGCGAGCACGGGCGACTTATTGGACCTTGAAAAGGAGGATATATTCCCACATTTAGATGACATACTGCAGCATGTGAATGGCTTACAGCAGATCGTGGACCATTGGTCCAAAAACGTCCTGCCAGAGAGTGAAGGGGAGGGGGAGGGCAGCAGGGGGCGGGACCAGAGGGTTGTTGACGGCCAATCTTCCAGTCAGATCACGCTGGACTTTGAGGGGACCTCGGTCGAAGGCCTGACCACGCCGAGCGATGCCAACAGGGACGGGGTTTCGTTAAATGGCACGGACACCTCCAGCACCAGAGAGAGGAGGGACTCGGGGGTGGGAGCTTCTCTCACACGGCCACAGTAAGACTTCAGGATGGATATACTTAGAGACTTCACACCAGCTTGTAAGCTTTAGATATCCATACTAGAGCCCGACCGATAAAGGATTTTGAAGGCCGATACCGATACAAATATTTTTGGGTTTTAAAATCCGATATTCCGATATATCGGCCGATATTTTTTTCTCATTAAATATTGTTGGATTTCACACACGTTTAAAAGAAAAGCTAACTTTTCTGCACAAGATACGTTTGATACTTTTTCTCTATGTCTGAATGTTCACTCCTCGCAAGTCTAACTTACATTTTACAATGCAGGGACTAACTAGAGATATGCTAGTTATAAATATAGTAATCATTACTTTATTTAGGCAGAAAAAGTTCATTGTGGTTTCCAAGCTCATTAATGTTAACGTTAGCGGTCTTCCACTGATGATAGTGGCATTAGCTAGCTTTGTGGTTAGATAGTCTATGATGAACCATAATTTAGCAATAGATAACATCATACTGCAAATTGTAAAACATACATTTTCAATAAAACAGGCCAAGGAGAGATGATTGAAGCATTAAATATTCATTTAAATATTCACTGCCGATACCGATATTTTGGAAAAGGCTCTAATCCATACAGCGTCTCTTTTATTAATATATATCCGCAGGCAGATATAGATGAAAAATTGCTTGAACACTGTTAATTGAAATGCATGATACAAAATCGTGTGACTCCCCCTTAACAATTTTTTGTTGGGATTTGGTGTGTAAGAACAGAAAACATTTTTGTTATTGCAGTTGTTATTTTTGTTTATACTTTAAAGAGCAGCATTAAGTTATCTTTACATTATGCAATGTTCATGAATATTTATGCTTTTGTTGTATTTCTAGCCTTAGATGGCCAAGCTTCAGGATGTCAAACCTCCTCAGCCAATCAGGAATCTCGCTTCAGATATCTAGCCAATCAGTTGGCCAGCTTAGCTTGCTGCAGAAATTCTCTTTATTGCGTCTCACTGCTGTGATGGAAAAATACTCCATGTCCAACAAGCACGGGTGGACTTGGTGAGTTGCCTACAAACAAATTTGGGAATGATCATTAGGATCATTCTAAAAAAAAAAAAGTACAATGAGTAAGAATGTGACATCAAGGATTCAGCATCATAGCGTACACTACCATTTATGGCATCCTGGCCAAATTTTCCCATTGAATCATCCCCATACACACTGATTGGCTTCATCACTCAGTTAGCTGGTGTGTGGTGTGTGTTCTGGTGCACTATGGCTGCTGTCGCATCATCCAGGTGATGCTGCTTCACATTGATGGTGTTTGAGGAGATTCCCCCTTCCATATGTACATAGAAAAGTGCTTTATAAATGTAACAAATTATTATTATTTAAAAGTTGGGGGTTGGTGATTTTTTTTTTTTATTATTTGAATATTTATGCCCACCAAGGCTGAATTTATTTGTTCAGAAATAAGTAAAACCAGTAATTGTGATATATTTTAAAATGTATTTTATTCCAGTGATCTCAAAGCTGTATATTCAGCATTGATGTTGATGTTTGATGCTCAAGAAACATTTCTTAGTACTATCAATGCTGAAAACAGTTGTTCTGCTTACTATTTTTGTTCAAAAGTTCAAAAGAAAAATGTTTGTTACATGCATTGTCTGTACTGTTACTAAACCTTGCTGATTACAAGTATTAAGTCCTTTAAAAAAATTACTGACCCCAAACTTTTGAATGGAAGTGTACGTACAGTACATAAGTCAAGGGTGTTTTAAAGCAACAAGATGAGTCGGACTTGGAAAGTCCCTGTGGGTGTCGTTGGGGTTTTCTACTTATCAGTTATTTGCTCTTATTGAATGACACTCAGATCAAAGTGTTTTTCTCAGTCAAGTGAATCATGTGTTAAAACTCCAGAGCTTATCCAGTAAATCACAGTTCTGCACTCTTCCATTCGCATGATATATCACGACTCCTAGACACACAGACAGACTGTACCTTTATATACATACATATGGACATAAACTGATCTCCTCTTCTTAATACTGTGCATATATATATATATATGTTCTTAGGTCAGTGCCAAAATTTATGAAGAGAATGAAGGGACCAGACTACAAGGATAAGGTGGTTTTTGGCGTTCCTCTGATTGTCCACGTCCAGCGGTACGGACACCCTTTGCCCTTAAGCTTACAGCTCGCCCTGCGCTATTTAAGGAGCCAGTGTTTGGACCAGGTACCCGATTTCATTCATATTTGCAAGATTGATTATACGGTTCAGTCTAATTTAGGTCACAGTCAAAGGCTACATTCAGACTGCCAGTCCAAATCCGATATGTGTGCATTTAAGATTGAAATCCGGATCAGATTTAGCAATTGTGAACGGCCAAAAATCACATGAAATGTTGAATAGTTTAGAGCTACATTCATATGTGGTAAAAAAATGCAATTCTGGAAATCCGTTTCAGTTTGACTGCTCTGATCGGATTTAACATCAGACGTTGTTATAGGAACATCGCTGCACAAACAGGGTTGTGGTGTTGCTATAATTGCCATAGAAACCAATGCAGATATTACGGAAAATGAAAGAGCGGCATGGACACACAAATCAGATCTGAACAGGTGTGATACACCATGTGGACATCAATAATTTTAAGATATGTTTACAATCACATACACAAATAATTGGATTTGGACTGATTGTGTGAACGTAGCCTAAGATATTTGCAAAAAAAAAATTAAAAATCTTGATGGTCTTGATAGTCCAGTCACTGCTGTGTTTCTAAAGATAGAAAAGCCAAAGTTTACAAACCAAAGTCTTTGTTTTTCTTGCCTGTATGTTAATGTCTTAGTAATCCGACATCAAATGAGATGTATTTGCTTCATTATTCTGAAATCATTATTGCTGTCGCTCATATTTTGGGTTAGGGTTTGAACAAACGTTTTTGCAACAGTCATGAACGATACCTCAAATTGTGCGGTTTGTTAATGTTTTTTTTCCCCAAATAATCAGACATACGATTTTCATCTGGTGGACGAAAAAAAAAGACTGAAAAAAGCCCATAAATTTACATAGATTTGGTTCAATAAACCCTTCCCTTCTAAAACCCCTGATCGCTTGGATTCCTCTTGAAATAAGTGGATTTTGTCAGCAAAATTTCACCAAGCAATGTTAATGCCACTCCTTTGTCAGCCACCCAAAAAACCCAACCACTAAAGCCTAGTTCTCACTACATGATTTTAAAACATCGGGCTGAACTGTGCGGTTCACACTACATGACTTGCTCTCTGTGAAATCAGGAGTGTTCGTGTTGTTGAGCTGTTCACACACACGACACAACGTGATTGATCCGCAACAGGAGGTAACGCACTACACCAGTTGACAACAACTCTGTTACCCAATGATTCTATCTTGTCTACAAACCACGTTTTGTCACGAAAAATCACGCGACAAAACGCGAAACAACCCGGCGAGCTCAACGATTTGCAAATCGGGCTTAAAATCATGTAGTGTGAACTAGGCGTTAGCAACCACCCACAACACCCTAGCCTTACAAGCACCCCATATATTTTCTTTATAAAAAGTACCATTATTTGCTTTCCTTGTGCTTCAGGTGGGACTTTTCCGCAAATCTGGAGTGAAGTCTCGTATTCAGGCTCTCAGGCAAATGTGCGAAACCTCCCCAGAAAATGTGAACTACGAGGATCAGTCCGCGTATGACGTGGCGGACATGGTCAAACAGTTCTTCAGAGACCTGCCCGAGCCTCTCCTCACGAGCAAAATGGGCGAGACCATCCTCCACATATACCAGTGTAAGCACTTCCTGTCTGTTACCGGCTCATGTGCACAAATGCTACATGCAGTACTTTCAACACTCTCTTTGTGCTTTCATGCTACCCAGATGTCCCTAAAGAACAACGCTTACAGGCCGTGCAGGCAGCTATCATGCTAATGGCCGACGAAAACCGTGATGTCCTGCAGACGCTGCTGTGCTTCCTAAATGATGTCACTTCCTCTGTTGAGGAGAACCAGATGACCCCCATGAACCTGGCAGTGTGCCTCGCTCCTTCTCTCTTCCACCTCAACATCATGAAGAATGATAACCTGTCACCGAGGTAGTTCTGTTCTCCTACACATGCGCTCTACTTAGAGAGGGTGAAACTTGGGTTTCGTTATTCTATAGGAGCTATGCGATGATGATATGTGTGCTTTGTCATTGGGACTCCATGGCCCTGAGGTATCGTGAGAAGGCGTGAAGGGTTTTATTAACTCAATGTACAAACAACTCCCACATCATTGTGTCGAGTAATGCTCCCTAATAAACACACTTCCCTGAGGGCCAGAGACAGGATTAGGTGTGGAGGGCGTTTTAAAAGAGAGATGGGTAGTTTAGCTTTACCTCAGACTCACCCAGACTGGGCGAAGGGGGATGGGGGTGTTAGGAGACTTCTTCATAATGTATAAAGTGTACTTAAATGTCCTTGTTACACCTTACATGGATTTACTATAGTAATAACTATAAATTAGACATAATTACATGCTTTTACAAGTAGCCCCAAACCAAACCCTAAGCCTGCACTATTGTAAGTGCATGTAGTTCATTAAAGGGATAGTTCACTTTGAAATTAATTTTTGGTATGTTTTAGCTTGTCTTTGTTTCCGCAGTAGTTTCAATTTTGATATTTTTAGGTCAAACCGTTTGTGTCTATCAGTCATATAATGGAGGTCTATGGTCACCACCTCAAAGAGCATGTACAGAGAAGTCCAAATTACAGTGATGTGAATAAGTTTGGACACCCATGCTAAAGTTGCCTAAAAAGAGGAATAAAAAAATCATCTTTTGGATATTGATCTTAATGCCTTAATTAGAAAAATGAGGAAAACTCCAACCTTTAAGGACACAAATTTTCTTTGTGAATGAATAATGTATGTATAAATAAATGTTTTTCCTTAAAATACAGGGTGCATAAGTCAGGACAGCCCTATGTTAAATTCCCATAGAGTCAGGCAGATTTTTATTTTTAAAAGCCAGTTATTTCATGGATCCAGGATAATATGCATCCTGATAAAGTTCCCTTGGCCTTTGGAATTAAAATATCCCCACATCATCACACACCTTCACACATAAATGTAAGTACACATTGATGGCCTAAAACACGAAAAGAGCAGTTTGTGTGAGAAAACGAACAGTATTTATGTCGTTTTACCTCTTGTAACCACTTGGACGTGGCTGTGGTTAAATCTATATAAATACTGTTTGTTTTCTCACACAAACCGCTCGTTTCGTGTCTTAGGCCATCAATGTGTACTTACATTTACGAGTCATTAAATCATGTTTAATTTGGACTTCTCTGTGCATGCTCTTTGAGGTGGTGACCATAGACCTCCATTATATGACTGATAGACACAAACAGTTTGACCTAAAATATCAAAATTAAAAATACTGCGGAAACAAAGACACCTACATCTTGGATGCCCTTGAGGTAAGTTAAAACATACCAAAAATTAATTTCAAAGTGAACTATCCCTTTAATATTACTCAGTGCTTAAATGACAGGGACACATCAAAATAAAGTGTAACTGATGTTTTTCATTGGTTTAATTCGTTTGTTTTATATGCTTACAGCCACAAATATTGTGAAAATATAATGGATCACATGGAAGCTCAAGCACATGATGTCTTTTATTGCATTCAGGTCTATTCAGAGGAAGTACGCCACTGGGCGGCCAGACCAAAAGGACCTGAATGAGAACCTTGCGGCCACTCAGGGGCTTTCGCACATGATTGCTGAGTGCAATCAGCTGTTTGAGGTACGAGACACATGTTCTGTCATGTTTGCAATGAGAAGTTGTACGGTACATAAAATTGTGTACAGAACAAGTACAAAATGTTTATACATTACAGCTTGCTTATAAGTTTGGGATCAGTACAAGTTTTTTTTAATTTTTATTATTATTAATTAAATATTAAATATTAATTAAATATTGCATGCATGTTAATTGAACTATTAATTAAACTGTTCTTTTGAACTTTCTTTTCATCGAATGTTGAAATAAAAGCTGAAAATTCAGCTTTCTCATCACAGAAATAAATTATATTTTTAAATAGATTAAAATAGAAACCGGTTATTTTAAATTGTAATATTATTTCAAGATTTTCTACTGTATTTTTGATGAAATAAATGCAGCCTTGGTGAGTATAAGAGACTTTCAAAAACATAAAAAAAAAATACTGATCTCTATTTAAAAGAAATGTTAATGTTGGAGGACAAAAGGAGACGCTTCTTTTTGAAAATTTTTTTTTTCTTTTAATGTGGTTTGTGCAGATTCCTCAGGAGATGCTCTCTCAGTCCAGGAACTCGTACATGGAAGCTGAGCTGCTGGCGCCCTCTTTGGACGAGCTCTGTAAAAAACAGTCACAACAGGACGAGGAAGAGGAAGAAGAGGAAGAAAGTACATATCACTCTTATCTGGAGAGCCTGATACAGAATTTGATGAAAGAGGCCAAAGACAAGACCAAAGGCTGGGTGGCCAGATCAAATATTGACAATACTGAGCTATCATTCAAAAAGGTAAGAACACATGTTATTCATTCATTCATGTTGCATAGACTCAGGCCTGGCTTAGCCCCTCCATGATAATTGATGATTATTTATGTGACTGAACGCTCATGCAGGGTTTTTTTTACTTTTGTAATAGTACCCTGTAATTCTTCCATAAAAATGCTATAAATTAAAAAATTTAAATATTTAAATATATTTATTAAATTCTCTCTTTAAAATATTGATTACATTTTAGTGAATGAAGAACATCGGATCAACTTTATTTGGACAAATAATATGAATATTGAAATTATAGACTGATGCATGACATGGGAACTTGACGTAGCTCATGGTACATCCTATCCAATACAAAAACCAAAAGCCTATAACATAATTAAAAGTCTGAGGTGAAGTGTGTTGTCTGGCGCAGGTGGGAGACGGGACCCCGTTGAGACGCTGGCGTGTTTCTGCAGAGGTGGAGGCTCCTCCATCAGTGGTGCTGAACCGAATACTGCGAGAGCGCCACCTGTGGGACAGTAACCTGCTGCAGTGGAAGGTTCTGGAAACTCTGGACAAGCAGACAGAAGTGTACCAGTATGAGCTGAACAGCATGGCTCCTCACCCCAGCAGAGACTTTGTGGTGCTCAGGTGAGTACAAAAACATCATCTGATCCTGCTCATGTGATCTAAATCCTCATTTTTTTTAAAGGGATACTCCACCTTTTTGGAATTAGGCTCATTTTACAACTCCCCCAGAGTTTTTGAAGCCATTCAGCCGATCTCCGGTTCTGGTGGTACCACATTTAGCATAGCTTAGCATACATCATTGAAGTGGACAAGACCATTAGCATTAGCATAGGAACTATACTCTCATTCCTGCGTAATAATCAAGAAACTTTACTGCCGTACCATGAAAATAGTAGGGATGCACCGAAATGGAAATTCTTGGCCGAAACCGAAAACCGAAAAAGAGGAAACCAAGGCCGAAAACCGAAAACCGAAACACCGAAAGAAATTATGCCAATTATTAGTATCATTGCATTTATGGCTATGACTGTGTACAAACTTTACTAAAATCAAGGCATTACAATTGCATAAATTAATATAACATTTTCAAAGAATAAATCAATTACAAATATTTATTTTTTATATATATTATATTTATTCAGAAGAGTCAAGTTTTAAATAGGAAAAATATCGAAACACTTTGGTCTTTTTTTTTTTTGAGAAATGCTAATGGTCTTGTCCACTTCAATGATGTATGCTAAGCTATGCTAAAAGTGGTACCGCCAGAACCGGAGATCGGCTGAATGGATTCAAAAACGGTAAAACTCAACAGTTTAACTCTGGGGGAGTTGTAAAACGAGCCTATTTCCCCCAAAAAAGTGGAGTATCCCTTTAATGCATGTATATTTATAGCAGTAGCACTACACTTTATATTATAGTATCCTATTCTGACTGCCGTTATCAACCTCTCTCTATTTTTTCCCTCTTTTTGAAATTCGTGAAAACACTATCAGGGAGTTTTTCTTGTTATTTGAGCAAATGGGAACACACAGATGTAATCTCTCATTCACCGCTATATAAGTTTACCCAACTATGACGACATCCGCTTCTGAGAAACCCGGAAATGTGAAAAGGGTTGTTTACTGTTGGATACGTGTGATCCCATTATTAAATGTCTAAATACGAATTACTGATTAAAGCTGTATTAAAGCTTCATTTGAGCATCTGCAGCGAGAGCTTCTTGTTGGTCTTCAAAAAAAGACCAAAGTGTTTCGATATTTTTCCTATTTAAAACTTGACATTTGGTGCATGTGATTCTCAGAACGCTGAGGTCGTAAAAAGATCTAGCATTGAACAGCTGAACATTCATGGAGTATTACTTAAAGAGACTCACAGAGCACACTTCTGTTACTTCAACATAAAATGCAAATCAGACCAGCCAGGTCATGCCCTGAATATCACTGTAAGATTACAGTTTAACATCATTTGACGAATACGCAGCTGTGAGGTGCAAACCGTAATCTGATCGGAGCGATATATTGCATGTTTTTTTGAGAATTAATCAAATTTGCATTTGGCAGATTACATCTCTAGTGTTGGGAATGTCACTATCAAGAGTGATTTATATTGGTGTTTTCTTTTCTGTTTAGGACGTGGAGGACAGATATGCCAAAAGGAGTGTGTGTACTGGTGTCACTGTCGATCGACCACGAGGAAAGCCCACAGCTGGCCGGAGTGAGAGGGGTCGTTCTGGAATCACAGTATCTGCTTGAACCGTGTGGATCTGGCAAGTCCAGACTCACACACATATGCAGAGTTGATCTGAAGTAAGTGCATTGAAGACACGAGCGTTCATATGTTCGGGGTCAGAAAGATGAATGAATAGAGTTATTCATATTTTATAATGTTATATAATATCAAATAAATGCTGTTCTTTTGAACTTTCTATTCATCAAAGAATCTTTCAATAATGTATCAGGGTTTTCACAAAATATTATTCAAAAATGTTAAATGTTTTCAACATTGATGATAATAACTAATGTCCTAATGGGCATATTACATTGATTTCTGAAGGATCATGGATCCTGAAAATCCAGCTTTGCCATCACAGGAATAAATTACACTTAAAAATATATTGTATAATGATATTTTTTATGTTGCAGCCTTTCATTAATATATATATATATATATATATATATATATATATATATATATATATATATATATAGTGAAAGGCTGCAACTCAAAAAGTTTAAATGATATGTATAATAAAATTATATATATATATATATATATATATATATATTTGGGCTGTCAAACAATTAATCGCATCCAAAATAAAAGTCTGTGTTTACACAATATATGTGGGTGCACTGTGTATAATTATTATTTATATATATATATATATATATATATATATATATATATATATAAATATAAACACACACATGCATGTATGTTTAAGAAAAACATATTATTTATATATAAAATATTTATATATAATATAAATCTATATACAGTATATACATGAAAATATTTCTTATATATACAAGCATGTGTGTATATTTATATATATAAAATAATTATACACAGTACACACACATATATTATGTAAACACAAACTTTTATTTTGGATGCCATTAATCATTTGAGAGCCCTAATATATATATATATAACACATGTGATTTGTTCTTTAATAAAACAGACATGGTTGTAATTGTCTTTAAATTGTTTGTTTTATTTAACTTGTTCATTAGAAATTCTACTTTCTCAAAGCATGTAATGAATGCTGTAAATCTCTTAATTGAGTCCACTAAATGCTGTATATTTGCTTGCTGTTCCAGAGGAAAGTCTCCAGAGTGGTACAACAAAGCTTTCGGCCATCTCTGTGCTAGCGAGACCGCTCGCATCCGCAACTCCTTCCAGGTTTTGGATCCCGAGGGTCCAGAGACCAAAATCTGAGCCGGGCTACGTGGAGAGAGGCGTGAGGGACGAACTTAGAGAGATTCACAACAGAAGACAAGAGCAAATGGAAGTGTTATTTGTGTTTCTAGCCCCCCCTAAACAACAACAAACTGCCATGTCCTGTTGGTTTAATAGACTGTGGATCATTGGGATTGGTTTTAGAGTGTTTTACCCCTTATAGGGCATTTAATTTAGTCCGTTTATTTCATATAAATGTATGCAGCTGTTCAAAACTGCCCCTTTTGAAATGGCATTTGTTGTGTGTTTTGGGGCATGTGATTAGAGAAGAGAAAAGATGGACAGAGAAAGTGACAGAGACAGACTCCAGTGTAGCCATAAAGCCATGCCTATAAAAAAAAAAGTCATAATGCTGCTTCCTGTTGTCCAGTCTTTACCACAGCAGACAGCTTTAACTAGCACCTTCAGAGCCTCGCTTACAACAAACAGATGTGGATGACAAATCAAAACACAGCAGGTCTGGTTTAGTTTTACCAAGCACTTCAAATTTAGGTACCTTACATTATATAAAACTCTGTATTTAGGTGTTTTATCCTCATTTGAATGAAGCTAGTGTTACAGTGACTACATTTTGAGCTAAGATTGTACCCTGGTGACGTATTGTTGTGAAGTAAGCCCATATTTCTAAAGTTCTGTTGAATAATGTTTTTTATCGTTACTTAAGTCTTTGATTTCATTCACTGTTAAGCAATAATGCATTATCATGATAGATGCACTAGTAATGTGCTCTTCTGACAATGCAATAAAATCAAACAAAGTTGTAAATAATATAGGCAATGCTAATGATTGTTGCAATTACGGTATGGATTATTATTATTATTGCTGTCATATTTTGTTATATGTTGCTGTGTCACACTCTACAATGTCTGGGACATGAATTCATTTCACTGCTTCTGAGAAGCATGTCTATTTTATTCACAAAGCTGTACATTTGTGTGTGTTTATGTATAAATGTGTAGATACAATTCCGGTTGTAAATTTTGTACAAAAATGAGGCTTATTGGCAGGTTTATCTGCATTTATGCTCAGTTATTTTCCTCATCGTATCAATATTTTGCTTGAAATATCATTGCAAGCTGGTTTAATCAGCTGGCTTGTTCAGTGATGTTTTGATGGGAACTGTGTGTTAGGGTTTGACTTGAGCTCAGTGACAGGAGGAGGTGATATGTTGTGGCTCCAAAGGTAGTTTTTGAACAGTTAACAGGGTGGGTGAAGTTCCAATCATTTGGAAATGTGAAAAATAAAACCTCAATACATATTTTGTTTGAATTTGGGTTTTTTTTTTTTTGTATTCTCTGATTTTTTCCTGCCTTGTTGGTCAGTCCAATAGTCGTGTCCTAAATATAGCGTAACTTTCTCAAAACATTGTAATGTAAATCAACAATGGGATCTAACTCAATCACTTCCAAAGAATCTCACAGGCTGAACATGGTTAACCACTAGAGGGCAGTGTGGATGCACCACAGTCGCATTGGAGGCTTGGCGTCGTGTATGCAGGTACGTTTGGATACTAACAAACTTGGAAATTTAGAGGTCAACGAACTATTCAAATGTTAGTAACATTGCCAGTAAGTAGTTGTGATTGTGCTTTCTCTTGGGTCTGCAGAACCCGAGATAGTCTCAAGGGAACTATTGATCCACGCCATTTGAATAACACGTCTACACAGAATTATGGAAGACCGAGGACACTCACTGCGGGCCATACATCATCATTAGGGAGCAAAAAGCTAGTGGCGTGTCTTTATACAAAAGAAGGTCAGATTTCATAAACATTTTCGACCAGCTATTCCTTCAGAGTGATTTCAGGTGGTCCGGGCTTATTAAGTTTCTCAACTCAAATTTGATTGGACTAAGAACTATAAGAATGCTACTTGTCTACTAACTACGTAGTACAATCAAGTAAAATGTCCAAGTACGCAGTTTTTATAAGACACGGTAGCTGAGGTAACGCTTAAAATGTAGAAAACGTCACAACTGTGAAAATAACTTGTTGTTCCTCGTGTTTTATTTGTATGTTTGGTTTAATAATATCTATGCACATTATTTTCATGACGTCATCGTCAAGGAACACATCTTTTTTATCGCTTTTTTAAAATAAAAACAATTAACACTTTTATTCAGCGATGAAACGTTTAAAATGTGTGCGAAAAGACATTTACGAAAATGTACCACGGTTTTGCTACAAATAAAAAAAAACATAATTATTATAGTTAACGTTAATCCATGGTAACCTAACTACAAATTAACCAATGTTTTGCTACACTAACCACAGATTAACCATGGTATTTTTTTTTTTTTTTTTTTTATAAAACTATGGTTATACAAATGGTACTCAATCTGCCAACAAACTGTGGTTAACTACACTTTTACTATAATAAAACCATGTTAATTTTCGTGTATTTAGTGGTCCTTTCAAAAGACATACTTTTCTAAATATTTTGAGTGAAATTGGATTAAAGAGCATATTGCAGGTAAAAAAAAAATCGAAATTTATAGATAACCTTGTATGAAAATACCATATGAAAAGTTAATGCAGGATTTAAAATGTTTTAAAACAACATAAGGACCCTAATTTAGAAGATAAAGTGAGCGTTTCTTGGACTGCTAGTAAAAACGGCTTTTTTTTCAACATCGCGTCATTTGACGTCATAGCAGGGAGCCGCAGCCTCGGCTCAGTGAGAGCAGGCTGGTGTTTAGTGAGAGCGCTCGTCAAGTCAGTGTGCTATCGTTAGTTTTTGCATTTTAATTTATCATCGTCATGGTAAATTATTGTGTTTGTGGAGATTGCAAAAACTCCAGCCTGTCAGGACTTCAATATTGAGTCCACAAGTTTCCATTACAATAAAAGGGACGGTGCTATATAGCCTATCTTTCGTTCCTGGTGCGGTTTGAGCAGGTGAAGAGACGGGATTTCTCCTCTGCATCGGCTCGGGAAACGCGGTCGTGTGTAGCGTTCACTTCAGATCAAATGATTAGCATCCCGGCGATATGATGGAGTTCAACATGGTATGCCGAAGCAAGAATATTGATCGTGGTATACTACCAATGGCATCAAATAGTGTTATATAGGTAACTAGTCATGTCATGCCCTAAATAAAACTTGTAATTGAAAAACAAAATTGGTTGTTTAAATACTCAAACCTTTAATGTTCTGTTTATGTTATAACCAAGGTGAAAAATATGTATTAAAAATTTACCCGAGTATAGCCTATGCTTTTTTAGTAGCCTATAGAAATATACTCAAGTAAAGTTTTTATACATTTAATAGTATATAAATCTACCCTAAACATACTAATGTCTGCTGGCCTGTTATAGAATCTGTACAGTATTGTGAGCACAGTGTATCGTTAGCGAACGTGTATACTATAAGCACGTCTCTCACCTAAAAGGCACCTGTCCTGTTCTCCACTGGTTCTCCTCACATCACAGGTCAATTTTTCTCTGACCATTCTGTCTGACATTATCCTGGCCTGTCCCTGATCTCTTTAGCATAGCAGGCTCATAATAACTTTATGGCTTGATCCGTCATACGAGTATTTCCTCAGCGTCCGAAATGTCATGCGATCCATTGTTTTCCTGTTGTGTGAATCGACCGCTCTCCCGCTCATTGCGTCACGCCCGCCACGCCCATTTTCAGACGCGGAAGTAAAATTTTCTCACAAAAACGACTGCAGAAGCTTCTGTGGCGTGTTTATACGTATATTTTAAAGAAAATCTAGTTCCTACATTGTTTTTCTATGCATTGACTCGTTGGGTCCTCTAACCTGCAATATGCCCTTTAAATATTTGATAAAATGTCCATTAAATTAGAGGATTTTTGCGAAAGTCGCGCTTGTCATCATCAATTTGTATAATATCAGGCATCCCCCACCCTGCTTTCCATGTCTGCATTTTAAAATCCCATATGAATCAACGGCATGATACAGCACTGATGGTGACCATATCATTTTATGACACCTTCATGCTGTCCAGACTTGTTTTTTTTAGTTAACATCTGACTAAATCTATCACTGTTTCAAAGATTCAAAGACCGCCTCAGAGGAAGCCTGGCAGATTGAATTCCAAAAAACAAAAAGCAATCACTTTCTATAGCTCGGACAAATCCTAGCACAGCAATAAGGTCATTAATAAATAAAATATCAAATACGTGAATTATTGATGATTGTGTTTGAGTGTGTGTGTGTGTGTGAGAGAGACAGAGAGATGGGTGTTTTTGCTCTTTGGAGAGGATAATGTCTGGTTTGGCCTTTCAACAAAGCAAAACGTGCAAAACATTCCATAAACAGATCTATAGCTTCAATCAGATGCCTTGATTAGACATAATTCTTCTGGGAATAATTCAGGCCAGCAATTAACAATATGGAGCTACAACCCTCAGCTAATTACTGTCTTTCTATCAGACTCCTTTGGAGGAGGATTTTTTTTAAAGAGAGAGAACCTTCCAGAGACATGATCTGACTCACTTCCCCTCCTGTCCCGTTTATTTCTGCTTCTCATGCTTTTAGAGTTGACAGAGTGTCAATTTGGTGGCTGTGTATGGTCCTAATGTAGATGTAAATGCAGAGAGAGAGAATCAAAGATGCATACACCTAGAGAAAAGCGCCTGAAAGACGAAAAAAAGAGAAATTCAGTTGCCTTGGCTACCATTTTGTTCATGTCACTGACTTCCTCACTATCTCCTGGCCCCGCTAGCACTCTCGTCTATCGTCGTTTCTTCTTTCCTTTTGTTTCTCCTTCCATTTTTCACACAATACACTGGCTATCTGGATGACAGGATTACAGCTCAGCGTCGGATAAAAAACACTGAATCATTTTTTCTTTATCACTCTATTATCGTTTTCTCTTTCAATCCTAAACCACACAACCTTCGCTTGTTTAGTTGTTCTTATATACTACTATATTATTTACTTATGTTATATATATATTATAGGATGCTTTTATCAAATTAAGTCTGAAAAAGTCAATTCAATCTGGATTGTTCAAGTATTTTTCACTTTTATTTTTCCAATAGCAAAAAGTCTTGGAAATAAATTATTATAAGCCTTGAACCAAACCAACCGGCTACGAGGTGAATCGCAACATTACAAACAAAAAAAGTTGCAAAAAAGGTATTTGAAAGCAGTGCTGGGTAGGAACTGATGGATTATTTAATCAGATTACAAAAACTAAATGCTTATATTGCTTTTTAAAATACAAAAATTCTGTTACTTTTTATTGCTTACATGATTACTTAATGATCACAAAATGGCTGTAAATTAATTTCTTTTTTTATCTTTAAAATTTTGTCTCTTTAAAATGTTCCTTTCTCAAAAGTTTTATGGAACTGCACACACAGTCATGTGACTATAATTACATGGAAAACTGAGAGGCCACACAGCATAAACAAATAAAATATTTAATCTTTTTTTTGTTGTTGTTGTTGTTCGTGTTGTATTTTGATTGTTTATTTTTAAATGATTTATTTATTTATAACCCTACATAGGGAAACCCTGATGTAATGTTTAGTAATGCACTTCATGTTGCTAATAATTTTTTATCAGTGTGGAAGAATATTATACTATTCAAATAAATGCGAGTTTGCAATTTCAAAAGTGTGAACGCATCTACATTGTGAACCGAGAAAATCCATGTTGAGACCAGGCGAGTCTCACCTGTTTAGGATGCACGATTGTGGGCCAATGAGATTCAGGTGTGGGCGGGGCTATTCCAACATGGCATGCAAGAAATACAAACCAAGCATGGTGATTTTACTGAATTGAGGATTCGTCTGATCTGCTGGCCCTTGTCTTTTGTTCAATAGACGCTCACATTTAGCTTGCGTGCGTATGTGTGAACACACTTTTCCCTCTCCCATAAAAACAGTCATGCTGTCTCTCACACTGTGGCTGTCAATGACGCACGCAAGTAGCATATTAAATCATTTTCTAGAAAATGTAAAGCCATTTGCTGATTGTAATACAAGCCTTAAAGCTGGCATG